CTATAAGTCAAGACAGAGAGCACTCTGGGCACTTCACGCCCGGCGTGGGCATTTCCAAACCTGGTGCCAGTACGTCTGGGTAGTGCCTTCATACGCATCAAGGCACGCCTGACTTTGGGTACTTGAGCCTCGCGTCGCGTGCGATCTAACATCCAAACACATCAACATCATAACAAAATCTTGAAGCAAACATTACCTAAATCAATCATACAAGTTATAATCACTCAAAACACGTTTTTCATCCAAAAAATTCACAAATTTTAGCGTCTACAACTTTTACCCCTAAAATTCATCAAATTCTTCTCCTTTAGGGTTCTAATCCCTTTCTACAGAACATTTAATTAATTACTCTAAAACATCTAATCATAAGATATAATACATATGTGGAATCTACTTGACAAATTACATCAAACGCACACAACATTTCATCAAATAAAAAATTTATGGGATTATGGTCAATCCCTCTACCCTTCATGCATACACCCAATCCCCAGAAATGAGTGTTCTCACTCCCCTCTTACATAAAGTGATGCAAAGTATTAGATCTATGCCTTTGGCTCCTCTCCGATGATTCTTTCTCGTTGTTCTCCAAATGCGTCTTCTTTAGAGCACACGACGTCAAAGAAGGTGAAAAATAAAAAATGAATAATAATCTTCCCCTTTCTCCCTTTTCTTCTAATATATCACTTTTGTTTCTCTAAACTTCCCCTCTTATCTTAATTAGTTTAATACTCCCCTAACTGATTAAATCTATTAAAATGTATAAAATAAAAACTATTAATCATAAAATAAAATAAAATCATTATCATCTCCCTAATTAATTAGTATTATTATAAGAAAAATCTCAAGGTGTTGCAATTTTAATGTTAACAAATGAAATATTTTACAAGAGAAAATATCTTAAAAAATGTTTATTAGATAAAGTGTAAGACATATATCATTTGTAAGATGATGTGAACCATATGAAGCATACAATTTGTCTCATATACATTAAATATTCATCATTTATTGCAACTAACAACAAAATTCATTTGAAAGTTTTATTCCTTAAAAGATCGAACTAGAAAGTCATCTTGGAAATCACAAATCTGTTAAAGAGAATAAGATCACATTTTCTGTCAAAACCAAAGATGAAGATCCATCCCTGAAATCATGGAGAAAAGCAGATAAAGGCATTGTTTTTGTTGCTTTGCGTTGACATTGCTTCTACAAGCTTTGGTTGGTATGAAAAAATGATAAGTAGCTTTCTTGATCAAATAAAAGGTACTATTTAGTGAAATGAATTTAATATTTGTATTAAATGAGTCAGTGGTTACCTCTATCACAAGGAAATACATTGAAGACAAATGAAACAAACTTATGAACTAGACTCAAAGTGTTGCAACGGTCATATTCTCTAAAGCTACTATAAAAAAGTTTTGAAGTTAAAAAAGATTTAGAGATAAAAGACAAATACACGAAGATATACATTGTAAATTATACTTGTCTATAAACTTCATTATTTCTTGTAAAAATCATATTGCACTATTTGGTTGTATAACGTCTTAGTGAGACGTAACAACATCTTTGTAACCTTTATAACCATTATTATAAGGTTGAGCCTAGAGAGACTTATCTATAAAATAACATTTGGTTGAGTTTGGAGAGGCTTATCTAAAAAAGAATACTTGGTTGTTAAGCTTGGAGAAGCTTGTTGTGAAAAGAATACTTGGGTAGTTGCTTAAAGAGGCAAGTCAAAGAATACTTAGGACTAAGCTAAAAGTGACTTGTTTAAAGAATACTAGTATCTTTGTTTAAAGATAGTGGAACTCAATCTAGTAGGATTGAGAATTGGACGTCGTTTCAGTGGTTGAGACAAATCATTATAAATTTTTTTAGTGTTTTGTCTGACTTCTCTTCGCACTCCACCTAACTAACATTATTACTTCACCACGAAAAAGTGCAAGTTTTTGATACACATTATTGACCCCTTTCTAGTGTTTATCTTTTCTCTACATGCCTATTATTTGAAATTCAAAGTTGATTTTCAAATTTTTGAAACCATAGTTAGTTGGATTGAATACAAGCTAACTTAAGTTTGGTTAGATTAACTTGTACCACAAGCTAATTGTTTTGACTATAAGTTCGCTGACATTATTAGGGTTATCGTGTCCAAGGTATTGTCCACTTTGGCATTCGCTGAGTTGTCACAATTTTGACCTTGAAAAGGCATCTCAGTGGGTTAAGGTAGAAGGATATTTGTAAATTATCCTTAGCCTTGATACCTATGCGATGTGAGACTTTTAGGAAATATTTAAACAAACCCCCCGATCGAGGCTGAGGGGTATGAGTGGACTAGACCTTCCTTTTAGACCTTCCTTGTTGAACTATTAGTGTTTTGTCCTTGAAAATGGGTTTTGGTAGGTTAAGGATGGAATACATTTATAAACTACCCTTAGCCTCAATTTCTAAGAGATGTGGGAGTTTTACGCATACAAGAACAATAATGTTTCGATCGTAAATGCGCTAACATTGTTAAAGTCATCATGTATGAGGTATTGTCCGCTTTTGGCACTTGTTGGGCCATCATGACTTTGCCCTTAAAAAGGTGCCTTTATGGGTTAAGGGAGGAGGGTGTTTACTAACTACCCTTAGTCTCAATTTCTAAGTGATGTAAGACTTTTAAACATACTAGAACAAACTCCCAAGTAGGCATGGCAACGGGGCGGGGCGGGGGCGGGTTTTACGTTCCCCGCCCCCGCCCCCGCAAATTTAAACCGCCCCCGAT